TTGGTGGTACTGTGGGTTCCTTCCATTTTTTTGATGTGAGGGTGTATCCCTTTCGTGTTTTTGAGATCAGGGATAGGAGTGGGTCATAAAAGATTCTTCAAAGTAGGGGTGATATAGTGTCTCCTTAATTGATTCCACCTTCTGCTATGTATTGTAGTGATGGTCCGAATAGTGTGATGACGTGGTTTTGTCTGTTGTCACAAATGTTTATAATAATTTGAATGATAATGTCTGGGCATTTGATCCGTTAGAGTGCTAGTTTGAGTCTTTGAATGTTTACTGAGTCAAAGGTTTTTGCCATGTCAAGGCTCAGGATCCATGCTTTGTTATCATATTGTTTTGCATCATCCTGGATTGCTCTGATTATATGGATAGGTTCTTGTGTGCTGTAACCTGGGAGGGCTGCCCAGTTGTGCTCTGATAAGATTTGATGGGTGGTGAGGATTTTAGCTAGTCTATTGTTGATAATTTTTGTGAATATTTTTTATATTGTTTCAAGAAAAGTAATCAGTCGTATTATATTGATATTGTTTTCCCATGGTTTTGGTTTGGGGATAGGATATATACTGCCCTGACTTTACTCCTTTGGTACTTTGCCTATTTGTAATACATTGTTGAAGAGGTCTGCAATATAGTTTATTGTTTCTTTGGTAAGTTTTTTCAGTGTAATATAAGGGATTCCTAGTAATCCTGGTGTTGATTTGTTGGAGTATTTCTTAAGTACCTCTTGGATTTCTTCTGCTATGATGGTATTGATTGCATTAGTATACCATTCCTTGTTCACTTGTTACAGTGGTTTGTATTCTTTCTTCCATATTATGGAGTGGATCGTCTTTATGTTGCATTTGCTAGTCCAGTTCTGATAATGTATCCTGACTGCTTCTTTGATTTTTTCCAGATCTGTAATGATTGTTTTCTCTAATTTATGTGTGATCAGCTTGTCTAGTATACTGTATCTTTTTGGATCGTTTAGTAGGTTTCTGATCATTTGTTTTTTGTTGGTGTTAAAATATGATTGTCTTCTTAGTAGTCATTCAGATATGGCTTCTGATTGTCTGTTTCTATACAGTTTATTGAAGATCACTTTGTGTATGTCTCTTGTGTTTTTGATGTATTTAATCCATTCTGTGATATTTACTGAACAAGAGGGCTTCTTTGAAGAGTCTATAGTGATGGAATATTTGTTGGCTAGTTTGTTTGATATGGACTTGATTTTCTTGAGGATGTGATCTGATGGTAGGTTGTTGTTGAGAAGTTGTTTACCCAATGAGTGGATTTTTGAGAGTTTGCGTAGAGCATCAGTAGAAGGGTTGGATGGTTTTAGTGCTCTCTTTTTTCCCTTGTATTTTTTGATGTGAAGAGCTGTGCTTTGTAGAATAGTATCTCGGAAGAGGTTCCATTTTTTGTTCACTTTGTCTGGAGAGGTATTTAGTTTATCCCATAATTGTTCAAGCTTGGATTGTATGTGTTCTCCAAAATCTTTTCATTTCTCTTGGAGTATGTCCTGCCAGTTGTATCTGGTATTGGGTTGTGATTTGTATCTGTTTGATTTTGAGGAGTCAGTGTTCCAGTGTTGTATATTACAGTAGGTTGCATTATGATCAGTTTCCATTACTTCTTTATCAATTTCTTGTATTTGTACTTCTGTGAGGAGCCAGAGTGGTAATGGGTAGATCCATATTTGATTAATTCTATTAACTATGTCTTCTATATTGCTTTATGTGTATTGGATGCTGTATGGATTGATTTCTCGAAAAGTATCTATAAATTGATTATTGATAACCATTGTATGAGTTTTCCCATTGGAAGATATTGCTTTGCCTTTAGAAACTTTGAGTTAGGCATATCTATGCTGGGGTTGGAAACTGAGTTGAAGTCTCCTATATTATCATTTGGCTGTTTGAGGCTTTTGCTTCATTGATTAGTTTAAAAACTTCTTTGGTACACTCTTGATTTGACTGATGTGCTTGAGCAGAGAGGTAAATAGTGATAATTCTGAGTTTACATTTGAATTTGAATAGTAGGTCTATTGTGATAATTTTGTCTTTTTATATATGCTTTTTGTAAATATGTTTGGTTAGGTTTTTTTCAATTAATAGTGCTACTTCGAACCCTTTCCTTTGATTACTTGTATTGTTCCATGTGGTTTGGTAGTCATGGAATTGGATGAATTTTTCTTTCTTATTATTGAGATTTGTTTCTGTAAATATGAGAATACTCGATTTGTGTTTATTGATCCATTCTGTCCAGAGGAGTAGTTTTCCTGGGTTTGATTTGAGACCTCTGACATTTATTGTAAAGATGTTTCAGGTTTGTCCTATAATTTGATAGTTTGGGTGTATTTGTGATGTTGTTTGTGTGATGTGGTAGTGTTGTTTGTTGGTATAACTGATTTTCCTAATGGGTGCTTCACGAATCCACCCATATTCCAATTGAATTAAAATATTTATTATAATTCCATATTGACTTAAATTATTATTTAAAGTTTTAAATTTTTCTTATTATATTTATTTATAGTAATTTTGAATATTTTAAGATTTTTTACTTCTTTAAAAGTAATTACTTTCTTAATTAAACTACTTATAGTATATTATACAGTATAATTTTTTGAAATTTATATATATTTTTATTTTTATTTTTTTATGTTTTTTTTTAAATATTTTTAAATATTTATTATTATTAATTTAACTTTCAATTTGTTATATATTATTAATATTATTTAATTTTTAAAGCAATTTTATATTTTATTATTTTATCTTTTTTATTTTTATTTTATTTTACAACTTAATAAAAACTTGAGAATTATATTTAATTTATGATTAAAACTTTTTTTTATAGTTACTTTATTGTTTTTTGTTTTTTTTTATTAAATTCTTAATATATAATATATTTTACTATTTTTTGATTTATAGTTTGTATTATTAAATTTCTATTAAATAGATTTTGATTTTATAATGTTATAATTAATATTATATAATTTTTTTTAATGTGTTAAAATTTTTAAAAGCTTTTAAAATATGATTGATTATTTTATTTGAGATTCAAATATAATTTATTTTATTGTAATTTGTATACTTAAATTGTTAAGTGTTTATTTTAGACTTTTTATATTACTTGTATATTAAGAAAGTTTAATATTCTAATCTGTAAACAATAAAATTTCTAATTTTTATAATAAATTGAAACTTGTTTAAGATTTTAAGAATTTATCTTTTATAAAGTTATATATTACATTAAAGCTTTTTATTAATATAATTTAAAAGTTTTTTAAATGCTTGTTTTATATTAGTTTTTTGATTTTTTGTTACATAATACTCTTTTTTTCTTATTGTTTAATAGATAATTTTATATTATACTGATATTGTTTTGTTTAGTCAAAAAGTTTGTTGCAATTATATGACCTTTAAAGTAGTATTTGATAGGTATTTTTTTTTTATGTCATGTCTTTTCTGATCAGAAGACTTATACCTTTTTCATATGGTTTTTTTTATTTATACCAAAGTAGTGTTTGTATAAGTTTTGGTCTTAAAAGTCTATATTGATCTATCTGATTTGTTGTACCTTATATGTTATGAGTTACAATTCTTATTATTCTACTCGCATTAGAGTTTCTTCCGATCTCTTCTTTGTTTTCACTATTTACAAATTTTTGTTTTTAGCTTCTTAAAAAGGCTTCTTACAATAAAGTAAATTGAGTTAATTATCATTTTTTTTTTTTAAAAAAAAAAAAAGAAAAGAAAATTGACATTTTGCAATTAAATTACATTTCACAAATACGCTAAAAAGAAAAAAATTTTTTTTTATACAGTACATCCAAATGTATTTTGATATGATAATTTACTGTGTGTAAATTACATATTCTTGTCGATGGAAATGGTTAGCCATTAACTTACAGTTACGATACAGGTTAACCGCGGGCAATTATGAGATGTTTAAATGAAATCAATCATTTATTTGAATAAAAATGCTAGCTTGATTGGAAGTGATCGGACACCTTACTATTATGAAATAAAAATATGCGATAAATTTCTAACACTAATACACCATATCATTTTTTAAATAATTCTATAATAAAGTTTTTTTTTTGTTTTTTAAAAAAATTTGAAATCTAGTTAATAATTTCTAAATTGTAGAAAAATCGAATCCTCGAAAAAAATTTTCACATTAAAAATGCTTCTCTGCAATATAAAATTCCTAGCATTGGTGGTCCTAAGAACATTCCAAACCAGAAGAACGCATTTCCAACCCATTTGCTTTCTTTGATCACCTTCGCTTTACTCAACGCAATAAGCGGAAGCTGAAGCATTTGTAAGAAAAATAAATACATGCGAATCTTTTTTGATACCACAACCATAACCAATTCGTGAATTAATGAGGAAAGGAAGAATGTCATGAATGTTGCATCGCGTTTGGATAATTTGTAGGACTCGATGGAATAGTGGTAGACGTGTCTCAGGAGGAAATGATGCACTGGTTTATTCCACTTTCTCGCAAATTCTTCCCACGTTGTACTAAATGAATAATATGGTGAGTATGTAAATTGTACAATCAGATGATACTAGGTTAATCAATAGTTACCTATTCCACCAATCATCATAAAATTTCCGATCCGCAAACCTTAAAAACGTGTGATCAGGGGTCAAACATTCATTATTATTTCTCTTTGCATCTCTATGCAGAAAACAGTTACCCAGTAGATGCATACCTCGTTAGCTCGGCGAAAACGTTGCATATGCCCTCAAATATTATATAGAAAATCAACAAATAATTCATCATGAATGGAAATGCCATTTGCAGTATGCAATTACCGAACGAGGTTGAGGCGTTCGGTAATGCGGGAATAATATATTCTTCGGTATTAATATATAGTAAAAAGAATGTACCGAATATCGCCATCACCTTTTCAAATACGTACCACGGGCGTATTCTAGTCAGCAGTAAGTAAACAATAAATGAATATCATCCAGGAAACTTGCAATAATAATGATGATGATTAGGCCTTACTTTTCCGTTCTGGGATATTCCAGTTCGTAGACCAAAGTTGGTACCAACAAAAAATCAACAAAGTTCGTTATCGTAATGTTATTTGGATAACTGATATTTCCAGCTGGACTCTTGAGATACCCCTCGACTTGTTTAATTTGTGATTCTAGCTTGTTCACCTCTTGTTGATTTTCACTTTCATTCCCTTCGTAATCGGATTTTTTGGATGCACCAACTAATCTTGCATGTTCTTGCTTTAAATATTTAAGTCGTAACGCCCACTCGGAGAGTTCTCCGTTGTAGAATGAATATGAATGAAGTTTCATTAACATCGAAATAGTGTGTAAAACGAAAAACCCGGATTGCACCCATGGCCAGTTTCTAAAGTAAATAAGTGGGTACCAATTTGAGAAAAAAGTTAAGGATCGAGAAAGAAGAAAATAAACCTCAAAATTTTGCATGCCTGACAAATGTCCAATAAATGGGAACGAATAAAAATGCGATTTGAAATATATGCTGGATCGCCATTCCGATGTATTTCCATTTAATCAACCCGATCGCAATCAATTTTTGCATCAATACCGCAAAAAACATTGACCCTATCATGCATGCGTCACTTATTAACAGTCCGATGGCATCTTGTGAGAACAATCTGAAGAATGATAGATTGAAAAGAAATCCGGCAGACTCGAAATTTCCAGCACCGACTTTTAAGGTGTAGAACACCATTCCGATCCAAAATAAGGTGAAAAATCCTCTGAATGGATCTTTATGCGTTTCCAAGGTTTCACGATCAAGTTGGGAAGTTCGAGCTTGGAAGGTTACAACTCGCTTTTCCATCTTTTTTGACAATCGATTTAAATCTTCATCGATATTCGTTATAATGGTAGTGGATATGGTATTGACGGAGTTAGGAGAGGTTAAAATGAGTTTCTCCGTGGTTATCGTTTCTTCAACCTTTAAATGGACGACAAAACGAAGTGATTTAGTTTATGCGCTGGTCCGATAAAAATCCAAACTTCATTACCTTTGTATTTTGTAACATTTTCTACGAGATGATTTTTAGAGAAAGGGAATTGAATTGTATGCGTGAAATTATGAAGAAAGAATGATAAAGTTGGATATCGAGAATGAATTAACGAGGTCTTGTGGATTATATATTCGAGTTTTATTGGTAAATCTCAAGAGAGATGAATATGTACAACGAGCGAAAGTTTTGTACGTAGCGGTCTTATGTAGTACGCCGATCTTTACGGTATGCAGCACAATGAAACGGGAATTTTACGGTTGCGATAAGAACAATATTGAAAGTGCCTTAACGGTAGGTAGCCTAAACGTTATGCATGCCCATGCCGTCGAATAGTGGAGGTGAAAAAAGTAAACACTGTGCAAACCGTATTATTTATTGTTTCCTATTTCTCTCAACAAGTTATAAACTTATTTGTCGAACCTTAAATTATTTGGGATTGTATATATGCGCATTCTTTTCCAAAGTCACAACTAAAAATGTCGAACTTCGGGGCTTTATTATACCAACAAGTTACATTTTTGCAGATAAATGCTCATGTGTAAGTAACTGCGATCACGGACAATGTACGAATTGCAAAGAATCTCTCATAGTACTTCGTGATTATTGTGGTGCGAAAAAACTTATTAGTTTAGTGCACAATCAAATTACACGTAACCTAACCCTATAAGTCCATCATAAATTCATCTATATTACGTAAATATAATTTATGTATCGCTTAAAGAGTTGTATTTTCATGTACGTACTATAAATTAAAAGGTTATACGTAGGCTTTTTACTGTAAAGTATAAAATATACAGTATTTTAGCTATAAAATACTGTATATCAATATGCGAAAATATTTTTAGTATTATTATTTTTAAAAATTTAAATGCTATAATATATAATTTTAAAATAAACCTTATCAGATTATTATTATTTTAATATTATTTGAAAAATATTTTTAAAATTAAATTTAAAAAAATTTTACTTATAATTATTGAAAACATGCAACATGCAACTTAATTAAAAAAAAATTTTTTTTTTTTTTTTTTTTTAAAAAACAATATCTTCAAAAAATATTTTTATTAAATTTCACTTGTATTATATAAGAATAATCGAAGTTACTATATATCTTCTATTTAAATTATAATAAATAACTTTATTGACAGGTTTCTATAATGGTTTGATGAATATTTAAATTGAATGAAATAATTCCAAATACCCTTGAACAAGTTATTCTAAACTTATGAACAAAATATTAAAAATTATGTTAAATTTATAATTTCATTCATAAAAATTATATTTAAATTTGTTATTTAAGATATGGATTTTATAATCATATCAACAACTTAATAAGATCTTATCACTAGGAAAATCGAAACCATTGTTAAGTCCAGAGCTTTATAATTAAAAGAAAAATCAAGAAGAGCTGCTAATTTCTATAATACCAAGAGTCTAAGATATTTAATTGATTTTAAAATTAAATCGATTACGCATATACTATTTATGCCATAGCTTAATGTCGTACGTTCGAATAAAAAATTATCTAAATTTATTTCTGTCATTATATCGCATTTTTAGAACATATACGTAAATAGATACTGTAAATAGATACAGTAATGGCCTTTCCATTACCAACATGAACGGACTGAATGAAGGACGGAACTTAATCGTACCTATTGCCCTTTTATTAAGAAATATGTTCGTGCATTATAGAATATATTGCGCCATACGAACTAATGACAGATTCATCTACAATATTTGAAAAAAATGAAACTGCAGTTCACAATCGTGAAATTTTACGCGCTTGAACTGGTTCCTTTTCAAATTGGGGAATTTATACACGGTGCCACAAGTCTGTAAAATCATGTACACCCAAAGGTAAAATAAACTGTTTTCAGATCAAATGGATGTATATTACGTGTACTTGACAAGGTGTGGACAAAGAATTACAAAAATATGCACGCCATGCACTAATAAAGTTCAAAGAGCAAACTACTAAAATAAATTGATATTAAGAAATTCGAGTCTGCATGAGAATAATGGATTCGAAGGGAACAAGGGAAGAAAAAATTATTGAAGATTTTCACTGAACGTCAATGCGACGTCCGATAGTTTCTTCGGTACGTGGCAACTGTTTGAAGGAACAAAAGAAATTAGCGCGACGTTCTTGCGTTATGCGAAGGTGCCCAAGACAAAACTTACCGTAATCTCTAAAATTCCATCGGAGAATTTTGCCTTAGTCTTGTCAGAGTTGACATTGAACGGAAGTGAAATAACTCGCTATGGAGTGTTTGAGGATTGAATATAAAAAAAATTATCAGGACAATAATTGACCGTTTATACCATATGTACCTGAAAACGACCAAAACGCCTTTCACGGATCCATCCGGAATCAGTTTCACGAGTACTTTCATCCTTGTTTTCTCCGCTAATGACAAGATTATTATCTTGAACCTCAACTTATTGAAAGAATATGTTATATGTTATTAGAAATATAACATTCGTCACAATACGAGAAAATGAAGATACATACCATTTACATTTTCTTTTGGAACACCAGGCAACTCGGCTTGATAAGACAAACAGTAAATATAGTAAATGAAGGATTTGGTATAAATTATTATTAGAAGTCTATTGAATTTTCATACCAGAGACAATGATATCGTTTTCAGCCTGTCGCACTAAATAATATATGAAAAAAATCTATGAATCCGTGGACCATGTCGAAGAAAACATTGATAATATGGTTATTTACCGTCAACGCGTGGAGAAAAAAATCCGACACCGCCGCCAATGAGGCCAGTGTTATCGGTTTTAGTATTAACGAAGAAATCATTGAAGACGCGATCAACGTCTCGACGTAAACGACTTAAAGTATCATCAAAAAGGGTATCGCTGAAAAAAGTATCGCGAGGAATCAAAGTACGGCTTCCAAAAGGTACCAAAGACGCAAATGCCATCGCGAGTAAGATTGAGATGGAAAATATTAAGAAACAAAATAAGATTGTCTTGATCACGATATGAATAGTCGGGTCTGTGGAAAAGAAGTTTGAGAAATCCGGTTTAATTTCTTTAAGACGATGTCTTTGTCGTAAGTACGGCGGCATATTTATATAGATGAACTGAATGGTGTGACCGTGGACGAGCAAAATTTATCAGATATAACCTCATTTGCAAATAAATTGAAATATGTAATGATTACCTTGCCGATAGAATGCGGGATGTCAAATATTCTATATCCTTTCACAGGTCTCGAGAACATAATCATATTAGTCATCTTAGATGACGGTATAACATAATTCGCCTGGGAACTTGGATTTTAATAATGCCGACAAACACGTAATCCTATAAAAAGAAGTTAGCTCGAAGATAGTAAATCAAATTGATCTTTTCCCGAACACAAACTTTTGTAAAAACGTACGATTTCTACATTCATACTTGACAGACGCGTATAAAATCAGAATAAATAAATAAATAATAATAATAATAAAACATTCAAAGATTGCGAAAAAAAAAAAAAAAAAAAAGTATAACTATACTGTATATATACATTATTTAATCCAATGTTATTCCAAAGTTCACTCTCTTAAAAATTTTTTTTGTTTCAAGTATTCGCGTCTTATCTTTAGAAAAAAGTATATTTAATAAAAATTTATTTTACGTTGAAAAACATCAATATATAATATATAATTTACATTTTAATATTATATTAATAATTCCTCACTATTATACAATGTATTTTTTTGTTATTCACTATAACATTTAATTGAAAATTGGTTTTGTTCATATTTTGATATAAAATAAAACGAATCTTTTATTCAATTATATACAGTATCTTTTATTTTATTGCTTAATAAATTTAATTTTATATAATATTTTGATTTTAATTTCAAATTTTTTAAAAAACTCTAATTATAATAATTTGAAAAATAAATATCATATTGTTATCTATTATATTATTTCTATTGATTCTTGCAATTACTTTTTTTAAGTTAATGATTATATATAATTCAAAGACTTTTCCTTTTTTTTTCTTAATTGAACAGATAATAATTATCATTAAAGATTTAATTATTATTTATAAGATTCAATTTTTTAAAAAATTTTATCAAATTTAAAATTATTTTAAAATTATATAAATAAAATTTTTTAAAAAAAATTATTTAATTCATTTTTATTAAAGTTTTAAAAATTCATTCTAAATAAATTTCATAAATCAATCTATAATTTTATATTGAATTATAATTATTTATTAAATTTAGTAAAAAATCAAAGAATATGAATCAATTTAAATTATATTATTGAAATTTTTAACTTGACTTTAAATTATTAATATAGTATATGAAAATTTCATAAATTAAATAAATAATATAAATGATATACAGTATATACTATATATATATATATATTTTTTTTTTTGAGTACTCGTAGTCAGGCTAGATCTAGATCATCAGTTTATTAATCAAATGAAGACAAAAGTACATTTTCATTCAAGCAGCATGATACATACTACAGCT